CTGACAAAAACAGCGGACCCTGCGACTGCCCGGGACTAACGCTAGGGAGAAGAAGAAAGAAGATTCCAAATTGTTTGAGAACACGTGAGCTTTACTTGGAAAGGCAGAGCCTCCTTGATCCAAAATCCACCTCCATCTTCCGAAGTACCTGAAATTTAACGAAGAAAAATTCGTCTACATTTCAATATCCCCGTTCGTCACCTGTTCCCGATCAGCAAACGCGCTCCATCGTCAGGGCGCGATTCAGCACATTCAAAACGCGATCAATACGCGTTTCCATTCCTTTGCTACCTCTACTTTTTATATTATTGCACCTATTATTGCACCTATCAATTTTTGGGTCTCATCCGGTAAGGGTAGCGTCTGGTGCGACAGTTCATATTGCGTGAAGTTATCCACTTTTTTGCAGGGGAGGGAAGCTCCGGGTGGGTGTAAAAGTTTAGCGAAATGGTCCACGCACCCAGGGGATTCCCTCCCCTTGCACAGAAGTACAACATACAGGTGGGGTCGTATGAAATCGTCCATCATGTGGGAGGATCGTAAAAAGATTCAAAAAAGTACCAGCGATAAGTTTGACCCTGTTACCACCAACATCTTCCCATAGGGACCACATCTGCCTTGATCAATTTTCCATCTCGATTCCTTGTGAAAACTTTGAATTCTTTGTTTTGCTTCTTATCTTCATGCGCAATTTCAGCTGCCCTACTCTGATGGTCACTAACTTATTCCTGAAAGCACTGAAATAATCGAAAATGCGAACAATGCTTATTTTGTTTGTGAACTGATGTTTTTCTGTCTGTTTTTCTTGACAGATATTTCATTCCTTTTTTAGAATCTATAGGCCCGCTCAGAAAATAAATATATTTGAGTGAATATATTTCTGTGTTTATAAGTGAACATATTTCTGTGTGTTCCATGTACATGCCCCCATCCATGCCGGGTAAGATTCTGCGAAAGCGCTCCATATCCTGAAAGACTTTCCTGGTTAGAAGGAGCTAACCCAAAATGCAAAATTTTGCCATCAGCCAAGATCGATCCCTTAGGCGATCCATTTTTCGTTTTATCTTTTTAAAAGACCATTCCAAAAAAGCCCTCTATATCCTGAAAGAGCTTTCGGGTGAGAGACAATAGCTGTGACTGTGCAAAGGGCTTTTGACCAGCGTTTGTGATAACGTCACAATAGTTCACGATCCGTCGAGGAACTCGTTGAGCTCGTACCGTGCACCGTGCTAACAAACCAAAACATTCTGATAACGTCGGGGCAGAAGAGTCTTATGGAAACTGTTGGTACAAAAATGTGCTCTTCAATTTCACTTCTGCAAAGTGTAGGTAATTCCGCTCTATATGTGTAGAGGAGTGACCTTTCTTTCTTTTTCTATGTAGTACTATGAGTATAATTATTACAAAGAATTCGTGCGACGTTTCTCGGGGCGGGGGGAAGGGGTGAAATATTGACAGATTGGTCCCCCGGCAACCACCTGGACCTCTTTACCTGCGTAAGCTTTACTCCTTCCAATGTGCTC